GGTAGTTGATTTGGAGACTCGGGTACTGAATTTTAATAAAGGAAACCATGAAGATATGAGGCATGAGTTGACCTTGATAGACTGGAGAGAGTTACTTAAAGGGATGACAGTGGCTAGGCAATGGCAAACATTCAAGGAATGCATGTGGGAGCTGCAACAACTGTTTATTCCTGTCTAGCACAAAAGCAAAATGGGTAAGAGGGCCAATCCAGGGCTTACAAAGCAAATTAGAGATAGTATCCGATCCAAGGAAGAAGCATACAGATTGGCTAAGAAAACTAATATTTGAGGATTGGGAGCAGTTTAGAATCCAGCAAAGAGAGACCGAGTGATTGTTTAAGAAGGGAAAAATACATACAAAAGTAAGCTTGCAGGGAATATGAGGACTAACACTAACAGTTTTTATAGGTACGTGAAAAGAAATAGATTGACAAAGACAAAGGTGTGACCCCTATAGACAGAATGGGGGAATGTATAATAGGGGACAAAGAAATGGCTGAGCAACTGAATACATACTTTGGTTCTGTTTTCAAAGAAGACACAAATCAGATACCAGAAATGTTGGAAAATGCAAGATTTAGTGAGAGAGAAGAATTAAGGGAGATCAATATTAATAGAGAAATGGTGCTGGGAAAATTGATGGGATTTAAGTGGATAAATCCCCAGGGCCTGATAATCTACATCCCAGAGTACTTATGGAAGTGGCTCCAGAAGTAGTGGATGCATTGGTTGTCATCTTCCAGGATTCTATAGACTCTGGGAAAGTCCCTGTAGATTGCAGGGTAGCTAATGTCACTCCAATATTCAAAAAGGGAGGTAGAGAAAAAACAGGGAATTATTAAGCCCAATATCAGTAGTGGGAAAAAGTCTCAAATCCATTATCAAGGAATTTATAGCGGAGCATTTAGAAAGCAGTGACAGGATCAGACAGAGTCAGCATGGATTTATGAAGGGGAAATCATGCTTGACAAATCTGTTGGAATTCTAAGATGTAACTAATAGAGTTGACAAGGGGGAGCCAGTCAATGTGGTATATTTGAACTTTTCTGAAAGTGTTTGACAAAGTCCTGCATAACAGATTACTGTGCAAGATTAAAGCACATGGGATTGGGGAAAGTGTACTGAGATGGATAGAAAACCGGTTGGCAGAGAGAAAACAAAGAGTAGGAATTAATGGGTCCTTTTCAAATTGGCAGGCAGTAATTAGTGGGGTGCCTCAGAAATCAGTGCTGGGACCCCATCTATTCACAGTATATATAAATGATTTGGACAAGGGAACAAAATATAACATCTCAAAGTTTGCACATGATACCAAGTTGGGTGGGAGGATGAACTTTGACAAGGATGCAGAGATCCTTCAGCATGATCTGGACAGGTTGGTTGAGTGGGCAAATCAATGGCAGATGCAGTATAATTTGGATAAATGTGAGATTTTATTCACTTTGGAAGCAATAACAAGAAGGCAGATTACCACCTGAATGGCTGTAAATTGGGGGAGGGGAGTGTGCAGCGGGACCCGGATGTCCTTGTGCACCAATCGCTGAAGGCAAGCATGCAGGTGCAGCAGGCGGTAAAGAAGGCAAATGGTACGTTGGCCTTCACTGCAAGAGGTTTCGACTGCAGGAGCAGGGATGTGCAGTTGTACAGGGCCTTGGTAAGGCCACATCTAGAATACTGTGTGCAGTTTTGGTCACCCTTTCTGAAGTAGGATGATCTTGGTCTCAAGGGAGTGCAGTGAAGGTTTACCAGACTGATTCCAGGGATGGTGGGACTGGCATATGAGGAGAGGTTGACTAGGTCAGATTGTTTTTGCTGGAGTTCAGACAAATGAGGGGGGAAATCTCATAGAGACTTATGAGATTCTAACAGGACTAGACAAGGTACATGCAGGGAATATGTTCCTGATGGTGGATGTATCCAGAACTAGGGGTCACAGTCTGAGGATTCGGGGTACACCATTTAGGACGGAGATGAGGAGACATTTCTTCACCCAAAGAGTGGTGAGCCTGTGGAATTCATTACCACTAGAGTAGTTGATTCCCAAACAATGAATGTATTCAAGAGGCAGTTAGATATAGCACTTGGGGCGAATGGAATCAAAGGATAAGGGGAGAAAGCAGGATTCGGCTATTGAGTTGGACGATCAGCAATGAACATGATGAATGGTGAAGCAGGCTCAATGGAACAGGAGGCTATTTGGCCCTATCTTCTATGTTTCTATGTTCAGAAAAGATCTACAAGGTTATTGCTAGGACTGGAGAGTTTGAGCTAAAGGCAGAAGCTGAACAGGCTGGAACTTTTTCCCTAGAGAGTCAGAGGCTGAGGGGTTACCTTATGGAGGAGCATGGATAGGGTGAATAGCCAAGGTCTTTTTCCCCCCAGGGTCAGGGAGTTCAAAACTAGAGGGCATTGGTTTGAGGTTAGAGGAGAAAGATTTGAAACAGACCTGAGGGGCAATCTTTTCACTCAGAGCTCGGTGAGTGTATGGAATGAGCTGCCAGAGGAGTTGATGGACGCAGATACAATTACAACATTTGAAAAGCATCTGAACGGGTATACAAATAGGAAGTATTCAGAGGAATATGGTCCAAATGCTCACAAATGGGACTGGATCAGTTTAGGATATCTGGTTGAGATGGACGAGTTGGGCTTAAGGGTCTGTTTCTGTGCTATATAGCTCAATGACTCTATGTGCTTAAGCAAAATAGTGAAAATCTGAAATAAAAACAAACTTGCTGGAGATACTCAGTAGGTCTGGCAGCATCTGAAATCTTGAAGAAGTGTTTTGACAATCATACAAGGCACTACAATATATGTAACACGCTGGGTGCCAAAAATGGGACGAGAGTAAATAGGTTCTTGATGACCAGCATGGATATGATGGGACATTATGTTCAACAATTTTATATCAGAGACTTTGACCCCATTTTGTTCAGTGTTTCTGTGATTGTCTCTTTTAGGTAGCAGGTAGAAGCGGCAAGCAGTGAGAGGATTCGAGTACAGGAGCAGGGATATCTTTCTGTAAGGGCTTTGGTGAAACCACACCTGGAGAACTGTATGGATCTTTATTCTCCTTTCCAAAAGAAGGATGCCCTAGCTATTGAGAGAATATAAAGAAAGTTCACCAGACTGATACTTGGGATGTCAGGACTGACGTACGAAGAGAGACTCGATCCTCATTTCTTTTGTCTTTCTGAGCTGCTGACTCCATCACTAACTAATATTCTATTTCGCATTTCTTGATCTGAAAGTGACCCATCTCAGCCTACACTTCAGTTCCCGTCCCCCTGCCACAGTAGCTTAAAACCTCACCAACAGAACTGGCAAAAGCCCTGACAAGGAGACTCATCCCGGCTCTGCCCAGGGGCAACTGGTTAGGCTTGCACAGGTCCCACCTTCCCCAGAAACAATCTCAATTCCTGAAGAATCTAAATCCTTCTCTGGTACACCATTTCTTCAGCCACACATTCATCTGATATATTTTCTTATTCCTGCTCTCATTAGAATGTGGTACTGGGAGCAGGTCTGATGTTATTACGTTTGAAGACCTACATTTTAATGTATCGCCTATCTTCCTATATTCAGCTAAACAAAGGGATGAAGGCCTGAAAGATATGTCATTGGTAGCTACGTGTTCCACAAACACTGACTGTTTATCCTCCAGCTCCAGAATGTCCTAGAACCGCGCCATGATATCACTGATTCTCATACCAGGGATGTAACATACCATCCTAGCTGCATGCCTGCGATCACAGAAGTGCCTGTCTGTACACCTGACACTCTCTTTGCTCCCCTTCTGTGCAGATCTACCTGTGGTGTCATGAACCTGGCTTTTGTTGATTTCCCGAGAGGCCACTGTACACGAGGCCCGCAACAGAATCCAAAGTGATATATCTAAGAAGGGGATGGCCACTGGGGACTCCTGCACTTCCTTCCTGAACCTTTTAATTTATCTGATGGTCACCCATTCCATTTCTGCCTGTGTAATCCTCACCTGCGATGTGACCAACTTGCTAAACATGCTGTCCACAACATTCTCAGTATTGTGGATGCTCCACAGTGAGTCTACCCACAGCTCTAGCTCCAAAAAGTAGTTACTCAGTTCCTGCAGATGGACATACTTCCTGCACTCGTAGCCATCAGGGGCACTGGAAATATCCCTTATTTCCCACATTGTGCAAGACGAGCACAACATGAGTCTGAGGTATCCTGTTGTGATTTCTCTCTGGATTCAGCTAGTTACTCCCGTTAAGAGAATTCAAATAAGCTAGCTATCTTCCTTTGTTTCAAACATTTCTATTATATCAAAACCCTCTACCTTTACTTAAGCTGATATATTTTATTTTGAAAACTGTAAAAAAAAACTCTGCAAGTATCACTTGCAAATTAGTTGTTCCCACTGGGACTGTGTCACTTTCTGAACGGCCAGAACTGAGACTGAGCATTACATTCAATGTTTCAGCTTCACCTTCTCCCTATCTCACCTCACACTCCATTTTCGCCCAACTACAAAGCACTCTCATTGAGCCAAGCAGCACTCAATGCAGCCTTGTCATTTAATTGTCTGCTCACACCTACGCTGACCTCAGCCTCCTGTACTGTTCCAATGCAACTCAGTGAGAGCTCAGGGACCAGCATCTCATTTATCAATACAGCCCTTTATAACCTCCAAACTCAACATTGACTTCAGCAGTTTCTGGCTCAACAGAGTTGTCAGGAACTGGTACATTCCACCTGAAAAGGTAAAAACCAAAAGATGTTGCAATTCAAATCCATAAGGAATTTTATAAGGAAGTTGGCTGGTAATTGAGAATGAGGTTTAGTAGGTGATTGGGACTCAACATGGCAGATCTTTCAAACAGACGAGGTATCATTTGGATAAATTTGTGTTCTCTTTCAGGCCAATATCGCCTTCCTCAGCTGCAGGGCTCAGAACTGAGCACATACCACCAAGTGTGATCTAAACAAGAATTTGAACATCTTGCTGCTTTTCGACTTACAAACATAGCAGAGATATTTTCCCAGAGACAGAACAGGCAAACCTTTATACTTCCACAGTTAAATGCCAATGATATTCAGATCCTGATGACTCTGCTCACCGTCAGAGCTTGTCTTGAGATGTCGGTCTCGATTATTCTCAATTAATCTCCTGTAAAGCGAATTCGCAAAAGAAAAATCACTGTCAGTCCAATATAGAAATAGAAATCTAGAAAACAAAACATTTCTCTTGGCTTCAGTTTGGTGCGTGTAAATGCTCCTCCTCAAATTGCCCCGCTCCCACATAGGACAAAACACGCGCATGCGCGTCGCTGCAACTTGCCCCCAATAAAGATGGCGGCAGCAACCAAGGGCCTATCACCCACCTGAGGCCCGCAGCCGTTTTCCCGTTTGCTGCAAACGCGGGATCGAGAGTTTCCAATTCAGATCGACCGACCTACTTCGGATGATCATAAAATATCCCAGTCCAGACTGACTCCATTTTCCTCCCGGTTTCCCCTGTCTCTCCCCACCTTTCAAGTCTTCTCATCCCACATTCACCCTAGGCGCCAGTCGTGCGGCACTACGCCATACAGTTATTGATCACGTGTAGTCCTGCTCGTCCTGCCCCTCATTCACCCCCATTGGTTGGAGAACTAGCCGCTTCCGATTGGTCGTTCAGTCCGCCTAGTCTTCTACTATTGGTCAATAACCTGCCACCCATTGTGATGTTCGTGGTTGGATACTCCCTCTCTCTGCCGCTGGATGAACTTCATCATTCACAGTGAATGGTGCAGTATCACAGAGCACAGGTGCTGGTGACTATTTAGCCCAATGGGGCTGTACTCTCTCTCTCTGGGGTGCTGCAAATCTACCCCAACTCCCCTGCCATTTGCCCATAGTCCTCCAAATCTTTCCTTTAAAAGTTAAATTCCAAATCTCTTTTGAGAATAACTGCTGAATCTGCATCCAGCTGCCGTTCAGACTGTTCCAGATGATCAGAAGATGCTGAGTGAAACAATCTTCACATTTTCACCCTGCATTATTTGCCAATTACCTAAAAGTGGTGACCAAAATTGCGACAATTTCTCTTTCTACAAATTCGGCATCTTAATGGAAACAAATCTGCACCAAAATGACTGCTTAACCCTCTCAGTTCCAATGAGAGTTAAGCTTCTGCTATCTCTCTACAACACAGAAATCAAGCTGAATTTTAATTTATTGGTGAGGTGTGGTCTTTGCTGCCCAAACCAGTAGTTATTGTCCATCTTTATTTAACTTGTAGAAAGTCGTGGTGTTGAACTGCCTTCTTGAAATGCTGCAGTCCATGTGCTGTATGCACGCCACAGCGCTGTTCGGAGGATAATCTGCAGTCTCACAATTCTCTCTACGTCTGTAATCTCTTCTAGCCTCAGAACTCTCACTATTTCTATAATCTCCTCCAGCGTCGTAACCCTTTCTTCCTCTGTAATCTCCTCCAGACTCACAACCCTCCCTATCTCTACAATCTCCTCCATACTAATAATCCTCCTTATCTCTGTAATCTTTTCCCGCCTCAGAACTCTCACCATCTCTGTAATCTCCGTCAGCCTCGCAAACATCCCTATCTTTGTGAATCTGAAGGTTGTTATAATCCTTCCAATCTCTGTAAACTCCTCCAGCCTCACAATCTCCTATCTCCGTAATCTCGTTCAATCTCACAATCCTCCCATCTCTATACTCTCATCCAGGCTCATCACCCTCTAATTCTCTAATCTCCTTCAACCTCACAGATCTCTGAGATATGTGCTTTCCTCTAATATCAGCCGAATGTGGATACCCCATTTTTATTTTTCCACTTGATAGTGGCACTTTCACATTCCTGGGTCTCAAGTTCCAGAAGTCCTTCTGAACTGCTATGCTTCTCTACTTCACCTTAACCTGATTCTAACTCAGACGAGGAGGAGCACAATTGACACCTAGAGATGCTGAAAGATGCCCTCATTAGAATGGGATATGATGCTCAACTCATCGATTGCCAGTCCCGACGTGCCATAGTGAAAAACCGCAACAACCTCCTCAGAAGACAGATATAGGATGCGATCAATACAGTCCTCTTCATTGTCCAGTACTTCTTCAGAGCACAGAAACTATGCTTTGTTCTTCACAGCCTTCAACATGTCATCGATGATGACGAACATCTCACCAAGATCATCCCTATGCCTCCACTTCTCGCCTTCAAACAACCGCCAAACCTTATATAGATCATCATTCGCAGCAAACTACCGAACTTTCAGAACGACATCAACCACAACACCACACAACCCTGCCACAGCACCTTCTACAAGACATGCCAGATCACTGACATGGTCACTACATCACACGTGGGAGCACCCACCACATACATGGCAGATACTCATGTGACTTGGCCAATGTTGCCTACCTCACACACTGCAGGCAAGGATGCCCTGAGGCATGGCATATTGGCGAGATCATGCAGACACTAAGACAAAGGATGAACAGACACCACATAACAATCACCAGACAGGAATATTTCCTCCCGGTTGGGGAACACTTCAGCGGTCCACGACATTCAGCCTCTGATCTTCGGGTAAGCATCTTCCAAGGTACACCACAACGCACAATTGTCGAGCAGAAACTGGTAGCCAATGCCTGATAGCCAACTGGTCGCTCACGTAGCGCTACATGTAACCCCACCATACTGTTCTGAATTTGCAAAATCTTCCTTACCGTCCTGTTTTGACACCATCATCTGATAACCTGTTACAATAACTCTGCCTTGATTAGTTTGCACATTCTGGATTACTTGTTACTTCGGTTAGACTCTCGGCATGCGACTTGTATAGCTATTATGTAATTCCAGCCATTTGGTTTGTCTCCAACACCATCTTATTTTTAATTTTTTCAAAAATTATCTTTCTGCCTTAGTTAATTGGCTTATTCAGCTGTTGACACTTTACTCACACCATTTATATGATGTTTTAATCTCTCAGAATGTATACATTCTGTGCCAATGTACTTCTCTTCATTTCACCTGACGAATAAGCAGCGCTTTGTGAGCTTTTGATTTCAAATAAACCTGTCGGACTATAACCTGGTGTTGTATGCCTTCTGAGGTTGTGAAATCCAGCCTCATATACAGCAGCTTTAATAAGTCTCAGCTCGTTCGGATGTGGGTGCCAGTTTACAGCAATGGCTTGCTTTGGGAGTTGCACAATATAAACATATTCGAGAGATCCCAGGTTCAAATTCCCGAACCGGCACTGTCTTTTTTTTTGTCTTCAACTTTCCCAAATCGTCCGTTCAACTTTCTGAAAAAAAAGTGTTCCATGAGGTCGAACTTCTTGAAGTAGGTTTCAGTTTCGGGACCGGAGGTGTCTTTGTAGTGAGCATGGCACAGCAACAGAGATAACAAGGTGCAGAGCTGGATGAACGCAGCAGGCCAAGCAGCGTCAGAGGAGCAGGAAGGCTGACGTTTCGGGCCTAGACCCTTCTTCAGAAATGGGGGAGGGGAAGGGGGTTCTGAAATAAATAGGGAGAGAGGGGGAGGCGGATAGAAGATGGATGGAGGAGAAGACAGGTGGAGAGGAGACAGACCGGTCAAAGAGGCGGGGATGGAGCCAGTAAAGGTGAGTGTAAGTGGGGAGGTAGGGAGAAGATAGGTCAGTCCAGGGAGAACGGACAGGTCCAGGGGGCGGGATGAGGTTAGTAGGTAGGAGATGGGGGTGGGGCTTGAGGTGGGAGGAGGGGATAGGTGGGAGGAAGGGCAGGTTAGGGAGGTGGGGACAAGCTGGGCTGGTTTTGGGATACGGTAGGGGGAGGGGAGATTTTGAAGCTTGTGAAGTCCACATTGATACCATTGGGCTGCAGGGTTCCAAGCGGAATATGAGGTGCTGTTCCTGCAACCTTCGGGTGACATCGTTGTGGCACTCCAGGAGGCCCAGGATGGATATGTCGTCTGAGGAATGGGAGGGGGAGTTGAAATGGTTCGCGACTGGGAGGTGCAGTTGTTTAATGCGAACCGAGCGTAGGTGTTCTGCAAAGCGGTCCCCAAGCCTCCGCTTGATTTCCCCGATGTAGAGAAGGCCACAATGGGAACAGAGGACACAGTATACCACATTAGCAGATGTGCAGGTGAACATCTTCTTGATGTGGAAAGTCTTCTTGGGGCCTGGGATGGGGGTGAGGGGGAAGGAATGGGGGAAGGGGTAGCACGTCCTGCGATTGCAGGGAAAAATGCCGGGTGAGGTGGGGCTGGAGGGGAGTGTGGAGCAGACAAAGGAGTCACGGAGAGAGTGGTCCCTCCGGAAAGCAGATAAGGGTGGGGAGGGCAAAATGTCTTTGGTGGTGAGGTCGGATTGGAGATGGCGGAAGTGTCGGAGGATGATGCGTTGGATCTGGAGGTTGGTGAGGTGGCACGTGAGGACGAGGGGGATTCTGTTTTGGTTGTTATTGCGGGAAGGGGGTGTGAGGGATGAGTTGCAGGAAATGCGGGAGACACAGTCGAGGGTGTTCTCGACCACTGAGGGGGGGAAGTTGTGGTTCTTGACAAACGAGGGCATCTGAGGTGTACGGGAGTGGAATGCCTCATCCTGGGAGCAGATGCGGCGGAGGCGGAGGCGAAGGAATTGGGACTAGGGGATGGCATTTTTGCAGGAAGGTGGGTGGGAGGAGTTGTATTCTAGGTAGCTGTGGGAGTCAGTGGGCTTGAAATGGATATCGGTTTCCAGGTGGTTGCCAGAGATGGAGACAGAGAGGTCCAGGAAGGAGAGAGAGGTATCAGAGATGGTCCAGGTGAGCTTAATATTGGGGTGGAAGGTGTTGGTGAAGTGGATGAACTGTTCGAGCTCCTCATGGGAGCACAAGGCGTCGCCGTTACTGTCATCAATGTAACGGAGGAAGAGGTGGGGTTTAGGGCCAGCGTAGCTACGGAAGAGGGATTGTTCCACGTAACCTACAAAGAGGCAGGCATAGCTTGGGCCCATGCGGGTACCCATGGCCACCTCCTTTGTCTGTAGGAAGTGGGACAAATTGAAAGAGAAGTTGTTGAGGGTGAGGACGAGTTCGGCTAAGCGGATGACGGTGTCAGTTGAGGGGGACTGGTCCGGCCTGCGGGACAGGAAGAAGCAGAGGGCCTTTAGGCCATCTGCATGGGGAATGCAGGTGTATAGGGACTGGATGTCCATGGTAAAGATGAGGCGTTGGGGACCGGGGAATTGGAAGTTTTGGAGGAAGTGGAGGGCGTGGGTGGTGTCACAGACGTAGGTAGGGAGTTCCTGGACCAAGGGAGAGAAAATGGAGTCGAGATAGGTGGAGATAAGTTCGGTGGGGCAGGAGCAGGTGGAGACAATGGGTCGACCAGGGCAGTCAGGTTTGTGGATTTTGGGAAGAAGATAGAAGTGGGCGGTGCAGGGTTGGGGAACGATGAGGTAGGAGGCTGTGGGTGGGAGGTCATCTGAGGTGATGAGGTTGTGGATGGTTTGGGAGATGACGGTTTGGTGGTCGGGGGTGGGGTCATGATCAAGGGGGCGGTAGGAGGAGGTGTTGGAGAGTACTCTATGGCACAGCAACACATGTGTTAAAAGCAAAAGCACAAA